TTTGAGGCAGGAGTCGCTAAACTGAGCCCGCCATCGGCGCTAGCGAGCCGCCCTACTTGCTCACAAGCAAAGATCCTTCCACACAGACACTCGTAGCAATCCGTGCTGCTCGAAGTGACACACAGAGATCGCCAGGTGCTTGGCCAATGATTATTGGTTAAATCTCTGCCACAACATCCAACTCTCCGCAGACCTAGAGCAACATGCGAGGGGATGTACTAGGGCATGAAGAAGGGCTTTTGGGCCAAGTCCCCTCCACAGCCCCACTCAAAACAGCCAAGGTGGACTCTCAAGACCGCTGCAAACAAATGAGAGGTGGGCTGAACACTATCAAGAGCTCTACTCAAGAGAAACCACCATCACCAGCACAGCCCTTGAGAACACTCAATCACTGTCTCCATGGTCGAGCTCGCACACAACCCCCATAGAGAGCTCAGCAAGGCTGTTTACAATCTAGCACGTAAAGCCCAGCAGTGACACATTCTCCTGAGTTAATCAGCTCGGCAAAAGGGCGCTCCCTCCTAACAACACCTCCAGAGCTACTAATGCAGTAGTTGGGAGGAGGACGTTGCCCAAAGACATGCGTGACCCATGATCAGTCACGCTTTACAAGAATAAGGGGAACGGAGTGGACTGCAACAACTACCGGTGGCATTTTCGCTCCTCAGCATTGTCGGCAAAGCATTTGCCCGGGTCGCCCTAAAAGACTGCAACTCCTCGCAGAACGCAATTTATCCAGAGGCACAGTGGGCTTCAGGGCCGCAAGGTCCAACTATCGACATGGTGTTCTCTGTGAGGCATCTGCAAGGAGAAATGCCGTGAGCAGAGACAGCCCCTGTACCTGGCATTCACCGATTGACAAGCCTTCGACTTTGGCAAGCCGAGATGGACTGTTTTGCCCTCCTCCAGCGATATTGGATGTCCCCCCAGGCTTCTTAAGCGTGGTCATGTCCTTCCATCAGACTGAGTGGGGAGCCGTTTTCAGTTCGACGGATCATGCTCAGAACCATTCGCAATCAAAAATGGCGTGAAGCAGGGATGCGTCATTGCCCCAACACTTGTATCGGCATCTTTTCTCCCTGCTCCTGTCCTACGCCTTCCGAAGACTCTGACGACGACGTCTTTCATCCACACCGGAGCAACTGAGGTCTCTTCACTTAGCACGCTACGGGCAAAGCAAAAATACAAGGGTGCCATCAGGGAGCTACTTTTTGCCGATGTGCTGGCCTTGTCCGCACACACACATGGGGAAGCAGCACTGCAGCGACTCATCGACCGTTTTTCAACCTCCACTGTGCAGAATTTGGTCTCACTATCAGCCTTAGAAGACTCAGGTCATGGGCAAGACGTCAGTAGTGCACCCAGCATCTCCATCGGTATCACACTCTCCGAGTGTGCAAGTTTCATCTATCTCGGGTCCTACTATCTCCAGCAACCTCTGCCTTGATGCGAAGCTGACACCAGGATTCGGCAGGCGCTACCACGATGGCCCGTCTGACGAAGCGAGTGTGGGATAAACCATGCTCACCACCAACAACAAGTCAGAGTCTAGCATGATGCGTGTTGAGCACTCCTCTTTATGGAAAGTGAAACATGGACACGCTACCCGTCAAGGAACGCAGGCGTGAACACCTTCCACCTACGCTGCTCCGTAGACTGCTTCGGTATCACTTTGGCAGGACCGCGTTCCCCAACCATCGACGTCCTGGCCAAGGCAGGGATGTCCAGCATGTTCGCCATCTGTCCCAGAGACGTCTGCGTTGGGCTAGGCCATGTCCCCCGAATGGATGACGGCCGCAGTCCCTAAAGACAGGTTGTTTGGGGAGCTGGCCACTGGCACTAGATCCCCAGGACGCCCGGCCCTCCGTACAAGGACGTATGTAGCGCGACC